AGGGGGGTAATACAGGTAGCAGTGCAATGAGGACCCAAGTGTGGGTGGGGGTACTAAGCAAAGGATCAAGGGAAAAAGAGAATGCTAGGGCAAGTTGTGTCCTGGATTGATTTTAGACTTACTCTTAAGCATATGGACAACCTTTTTTAGAGTTGCCTATGACTAAACAAATAGTGAATGTACTGAAAAAGCCTTGTAATTTGGACAACCAAGACATGGGTAGATACGCCTCACCTTCATTGTGTTTCTGTTATCACTGGCAAGGGGTGCAAAGTGTGGTGGTACTGAAAGATACCATCAGTGAGGCACTTAATTAACATGAGAAAATCTGGTGTGTCATCTCTCACTACAGCAGGCTGGTGCCCCTACAACTGAACATGTACTGTTCTCTGTTGAAATGCTCTGGAACACTTAATATGAAAAATGAAGTGCATGCATCTTCCTCTGAAAGAGGCCTGCCATGTAGGGGGTGAGAGCCTACTTTTCTTCATTCACCCATACCCTTGCTCATAGGAAATGTAGACTTTTTTTACCTGTATTATGGCATCATAATTAGGTCTCCCTCTCCAACAAGGGAAATATATCTGTGATATTATTGTTGTGTCACTTTCAAAAACACTGAAAGCACAAAAATAGGCAAACCGTCATTGCACTTTACCATTCCCCGTATCCCCTGGATTTGTCACCTTTACACTTCTTTCTCTACACCTTGTTTAAGCCTCCAATGGAAGAAAAATGTTATTCTGCTCTGCAGGCAATTTTATGGAATGTGAATGCTGTCCTTAGACCATTAGGGTTGAAGACGTCTGTGTTTTCAATAACACGGTTGACTCCATATGATGTGGAGTTGACTGTACCAGAAATGTGATGCTGGTGCAAAGCATCAGATAAGGAATGTTCTGAAGGACACCCTGCATAAGAATTTTAACACTTTGTCTGAACTGCGGGGTCAGTGCCCATGCTTGTATGAGGTCATATAGCCAAAAGTAGGAGGATGAGACTTTCAGGGATGTTTATATTACCTATGAACACATAAGGTGTTCAAAAGCATATTGTGCCATGACCTCAGAGTGGCAATTTCTTCTCCGACTCACCCTTTTTTCATCTTCTTTGTGACACATGCTATAGTCAAGTGAAAGAACTTGTATCAATTCTTTTGACATTGAATTCTTGCTTGAACTTGGAACAAGAAAATTGTTTTCCTATCATGGTAGCTATACACATATCCATGAATGTCTCCTGTAAAATATTCAGGCAATGGAAATACTCTAAAAATGCCTGTGTCTTTCATAGGAGGAAATGGTTGTTTGTAAACTTTGACATATTCATGACTGCTGGCACTTGATTAATCATAATTTTTCTGACTTTTTCACCATAAAACTAAAGTAANGTTAGTAAATCTAGTCAATTGGGTGTTCATCAATTCATTACCTTCACTACTAAGAAGAATGTGCATAATTCAAATTATTACCATCTTTCTCAAAACAGACAAGAGCCTGAAATATACTTGCATAGTATAGCAGTTCCCAGACTTCTTTTAACCATAACCCACTTGCTGATGTACAAAAAATTTTGCAACCCACCAGAATTCAGAATGAGGTATTTTCAAAGTAATTATGACATGAAGAAAACTGTTAGACATTTTCTGCAGGACATTTTTCATCCTGAGTGGATGTGGATATAGTGATTTTTTTTACAGGGCAAATGTACACGACCCACCTTGATGCCTCTCATGACCCACCAGTGGGTCACAACCCACAGTTTGGGAACTGCTGGCATAGGGGGTGCTGCCTAAAAAAAAACTCGGCATTGAAAGGGTTAATGGCAAGCAGAAGGACAGCAGGCATAATTAAAAAAAATATATGATATGGATGTGAGTTTAGGTCCTGTGAACCTATCAACTTAACCATGAAAACCAGGGATGTAGCCAGGGGGGTGTCCTGGGTGTCTAGACACCCCCCGAAACGAAGCAAGATTTCATGAAAGAAGGAGTATGAGAACCATGGTTATGGTTAAGTTGGTTAAGTTGGGGGGGGCATTTCGTCATCTCATGAGCCTGAAAGAGCCTCATAAGACATCCCCCGAAAATAATTCCTGGCTACGTCTCTGATGAAAACTTTGCCTCATGAAAAAAGAGGTTTCACAGTTTGCGACCAATATATAGACAATAGTGAAAGGTCTGAGTTTGAGTTGTCCATTGGAATAGGTAATATTACCCACTCTGTCAGGCTTGATGAATGGAACTGATAGAACATGATGGAGGGAAGGACTGAGGATTTAGTTGTGATTGAGTGGTGGATAAACTGCTGAGCACTGCAAGCATTGTGAAGGAACACTATGTGTATTACATACAACAATGAAAAAACTAGTGGAACTTTAGTAGGATGAGAAGTTAAGAGTGAATTTCAGCTGAAGGACTCTTGCTTATACAGATACTATGCCCCCAAAATCATCCAGTAGCTTTATAGCAGAAATCACTAGATTGATTCCAGGGGTGCCACCAGAAAACTCAAAAGGGGGTAATACAGGTAGCAGTGCAATGAGGACCCAAGTGTGGGTGGGGGTACTAAGCAAAGGATCAAGGGGAAAAGAGAATGCTAGGGCAAGTTGTGTCCTGGATTGGTTTTAGACTTACTCTTAAGCATATGGACAACCTTTTTTAGAGTTGCCTATGACTAAACAAATAGTGAATGTACTGAAAAAGCCTTGTAATTTGGACAACCAAGACATGGGTAGATATGCCTCACCTTCATTGTGTTTCTGTTATCACTGGCAAGGGGTGCAGAGTGTGGTGGTACTGAAAAATACCATCAGTGAGGCACTTAATTAACATGAGAAAATCTGGTGTGTCATCTCTCACTACAGCAGGCTGGTGCCCCTACAACTGAACATGTACTGTTCTCTGTTGAAATGCTCTGGAACACTTAATATGAAAAATGAAGTGCATGCATCTTCATCTGAAAGAGGCCTACCATGTAGGGGGTGAGAGCCTACTTTTCTTCATTCACCCATACCCTTGCTCATAGGAAATGTAGACTTTTTTTTACCTGTATTATGGCATCATAATTATGTCCCCCTCTCCAACAAGGGAAATATATCTGTGATATTATTGTTGTGTCACTTTCAAAAACACTGAAAGCACAAAAATAGGCAAACCGTCATTGCACTTTACCATTCCCCATATCCCCTGGATTTGTCACTTTTACACTTCTTTCTCTACACCTTGTTTAAGCCTCCAATGGAAGAAAAATGTTATTCTGCTCTGCAGGCAATTTTATGGAATGTGAATGCCGTCCTTAGACCATTAGGGTTGAAGACGTCTGTGTTTTCAATAACACGGTTGACTCCATATGATGAAACACTCACAGGACCAGTGCACTTTATTCTATAATCTGGAGTATTCTTATAACTGGAACTACCCTATTGTATTGTAACATAAATCAGGGCCATGCACTGATATTCCATTAAGTGGAGTTGACTGTACCAGAAATGTGATGCTGGTGCAAAGTATCAGATAAGGAATGTTCTGAAGGACACCCCGCATAAGAATTTTAACACTTTTGTCTGAACTGCGGGTTCAGTGCCCATGCTTGTATGAGGTCATATAGCCAAAAGTAGGAGGATGAGACTTTCAGGGATGTTTATATTACCCTATGAACACATAAGGTGTTCAAAAGCATATTGTGCCATGACCTCAGAGTGGCAATTTCTTCTCCGACTCACCTTTTTTTCATCTTCTTTGTGACACATGCTATAGTCAAGTGAAAGAACTTGTATAAATTCTTTTGACATTGAATTCTTGCTTGAACTTGGAACAAGAATATTGTTTTCCTATCATGGTAGCTAAACACATATCCATGAATGTCTCCTGTAAAATATTCAGGCAATGGAAATACTCTAAAAATGCCTGTGTCTTTCATAGGAGGAAATGGTTGTTTGTAAACTTTGACATATTCATGACTGCTGGCACTTGATTATTCATAATTTTTCTGACTTTTTCACCATAAAACTAAAGTAATTTCACACTTTCCAAAGCAATGTAATTTCTGAATTCTTTTATTGACTGCACAGTTAGGATACACCATTTTTTTTTTTTTTTTTTTATATCCATTAAGTACTCAAATGCATTTTTCTTCCTCCAAACTGTATAAATGGTGGCTTATGGGCTCAGTGACCCTCATATATTTTCATCTGCAGTATTTTATTTATGTAGCCTTTATTTTTTGCTGAGAAAGTGACAGGCTTGCAACAATATCAAATTTAACCTCTATCCTGTATCCAGTGTTGCATCCTGTCCTACAGTGAACCCTTGAACCCTTTACTGGTTTTGATGCAATATTATGCATCTTGTCCTTGTGTGCCATTTGTTTTTGTCTAAATACTAGGTATCTGTAATATCTTCTTGTAAACTAATTGTTTTCTGCATAATACTGCAAGTCTGTTGGTGCTTGGTTGTGGTAAATTTTGTACACCAATGCACAGACAAAGACATGGCATTTAAAAATTAAGTCAGTGTACACATGGCTACCAGAATTGAAGTACTTGAGGGGTTAAATCTGGTCTAGACCAACATTTCATGAGGCTTGGCATAGCCTCACATGTTGCCTTTGGATCTCCTTTTTTCTAATGCTCCTATCAGCTCCCTGCCACAAGCTAAAGGAGGAAGGAAATAATGTTGAAAATACTGGAAGTTTAATGCCCACTGATGCCTAACAACCAATATCACTTGGAATCTTTGATATGTTTCATTTCTGAAATCAACAGTCATTGTGCCCATTGTTGAATGACATCAGCTTTTGCTCTTTGAAGCTATTATGTATGTGTGACAGGTAAGACATTGCTCCAGTTGTATGATGGACATGGCTATTTTTTTTACAGAGTATTCTGTCATATTGTTTTCATGCTGAATGCCCTCATACTAATAGAAGTGGTTCTCAGGACTATGCCAACATTGAAAATGCAGGAGCCTAAAGTCATTTTCAATTTTTTTTTCCTTGTAGCAATTGGGAGCCTTTTGAATCCAGTATCCATTCCATATGCAGTGCAATGTGTCAAAATCTGGCAGGGCCTTCTTGCTTTAGAAAAAGATCCTCACCCAGAAGTGGCTCAACTAGCACACAGTGTCATATCTTCCATCACCTCCAAGGTTCCTGTACTTCCTTTCAAGTTATTAACTGAGTAGGAGTGAAAATGGCTTGCAGCATCTTGTTCAAACCAATTAATAATAATGGTTTTTGTATTTACATCTATTTTACTTGCAGTAGTTCATCAGAAAGGTTGGTTGGATTCAGATTAAAAGTTGGGAAGTTGAATTGAAATCATGTTTCTGTTCTTTAGGCACATTCTACCTCCAGAGACATCACTGCTTCAGCATCCCCATCATCATCTAAAGCCAACCTTACAATGTATGTGTATTTCATATGTGTATATACGCATTTCTTCCTCCATTTTCTTATTTGTTGATTCCTGCTAAGTGCTGGAAGGATGTAATGAACAGTGTGGTTCTTGTGTAGTATTGACCATCAAAGTTTCTTGTTTTTATGCATTATTACCATTGTAGACAACTGTATTCTGAATGCTGTTGAGCTGAGACCTCCTTGTAATACTTCATTTGCATTGTATTGTTCTGGCCTTAATGGAACATGAACATTCCTTGAAGACAGGTGATGATAGGCATCTTGTGTTCCAGAGGAGGATCTCCACCACACTGTGTGACTCCAGGAACCAGTCCTCAGACATTCTCTGCCCTTCACACCTCCACACCTAACAAGTCTCTCACAAACCGGATTCGAAGAGTCAGTGATCGCCTCTCCTCTTCTCACTCATTTGTACGTCTGTGCCTTGGTGCTTGTGTTCTCTTTTCACTGTCATCAAATTAATGGATCCTGTTTACTTCTTGCCTCTTCTATGGAAGACACAGGAAGAATCCTGTGAAGTCGAATGCATCCATCAGCCTCTGTTGCAAAGCAATTTTGTGGAATGGAGTACAGGACATTTCTCAAGAGCCACTCCAGCCATTCTCCCTGAAATGGACCCTGAAAGTGCCATCTTTCATCATAAGGCATCTCGATACAAGAGAAATGAGTGCCTCCGAAAAGATGCAAGCATTGAGCAGGTGTGTGTGTTGACAAAACGTCTTGATGAGCAGACATTTATCGTTAGAAATCCTCGAGTGCCTGCTGTGGTAAAATTCCATCCCTATGATCCACATTTGGCAGTGGCTGATAAAAGCCACTGCAGTGTGTGGGATTGGGAGAAGGGGAGTCTATTGTGCACATGGCACAACTGCAATGCCAAGGAAGCACGTATCACTGCTCTGGAATATGTGAATGCACATGAGGAGAACTGTCTGTTGGTGGGAACTGATGAAGGAGCTGTTCGTGTTTGGAAGAACTTCCTTCCCTCAGATGAATTTGATGAGGATGTAAAAAATCCAGGAGATCCCCAGCTTGTCACCTCGTGGCAAGTCCTTTCTGAACTCCTGCCCTCCACCAAAGGTAAGTATTTAACTCTCATCCCTGGGTTCACCTTGCATAAAAATAAATAATTGATATTTTTGTGATGCAGGTTCAGGGATTGTGATGCATTGGTCCCAGACAGCCCAGCAGTTGGCCGTATCAGGTGATGTACGTGTTGTTAGACTCTGGGATGTTGCCAAGGAGCTACGAATACTCGACCTTCCCACTGGAGCTGAGAGCTGCATTACCTGCCTCTCCAGAGAAAGAGATGGTACAGAACAAAGTCCATGGACTGTATTTAACATTGGTCTTAGGTGTTTCTGTCACATAACACACAATGATGACTCTTGTTATAGACAGATTGCATTCCTGAAAATCACAGTGTATATCAAATTCGCATAAAACGGGAAACTTATAACATGTAATAATAGGGGTTGTATTCCTGAACGTGCAAGATTTCAACCTTTCAAGATTAAATAAATAAATCTTGATATGTATAAATCTTGCACATTCAGGAACGTAACCCCCACATATAATGAGAGACAACTTTACTCAGCAGAGAACTTGGCAGGAAATTTAGTCCATTTAAATGCATTGGAAATATAGATTGAATACTTAGCACAATACAGGCCTTGAGGTTTTAAGGAAACCAACTATGAGTCCCTAATATTTAATTATTAATTTTTTAAGGTATATGTGGCTTAAATTTTTTAATATTAACCTTGAAACTGTTACCTTACTTCCCATCACTACTGCTATGCACACTATTAAACTTACTTTCTTTTCTTTAATTTACCTTTTGCCATTTTTCTTTCTTTCATGTTTTTTTTTCTAGGATGAAAGTTAAAATAATGTTGATGAACTTATCGTGTATCTTGTCAGCAATATTAATAGCTAGATAACACATTATTTGCATTCCCTACAGGTAGTCCCCTGTTGGTTGCAGGATGTGGGGATGGGTCTGTCCGACTCTATGACATTCGCAAACCTTCAGCTGAAGCAAGAGTTATGACATGGAGAGAGCACAATGGTTACATTCTTGAAGTATTCCTTCAGTCTCTACCCACAGGACCCCAGAGGGTCATTAGTGGCTGGTCTGTCTCCTCTCTCTTAAGATTATATTTACTCTTGATTTGATGCCTGTCACATTTATTATTTGATTCTTTCTGGACAAACAGTGTGCCAGGTGATGTGAGGATCTGGGAGTTGAGAAAGCCAACATCTGTAAGCTGTAAGGTCACTTCCCCAATGATGACTGCCATGACTGTCCATCCTCAGGCCAATATCTATGCATGGTGTGTCTCTTGTCTCTCTTCTATAATTGAGTACTATAAGTATGTGTATTTCATCAAGATTGCTCAACTCTTTCTTGGTGTTGCCTTTTTTGCAGTGAGTGTATTTAAATTTGCACTGACATGACACCTGTGTTTCTTACAGTGGATCAGTGAACCAGTTCATTGGTGTGTACACAACAAGTGGAGAGCAGCTGAGTGCCATCAAGTATCACGATGGGTTCATGGGTCAGCGGATTGGCCCAGTTAGCTGCCTCACATTCCATCGACACCTGGTTCGACTTGCTGCAGGCAGTACAGATGCTTTCATCAGTGTATACTCACTCAAGTGAATTCTACCTAGGTGATAAGCATGATGGAAGATTGAGTGATACAGGTACTTCCCTTCTTGAGTGCCTTCTCTAGGATCTATACTTTGCTCAAAGCTTTGTCCCCAACTGGTTAGGATTTATTTATGTGAAGCAGAGATGTTGTCATCTCGTATCCAATTGAGATGTGAAATATCATTATGCTGATATTGATTACAATAGTGATGTTTTTTAGCATTCAGCTTCAGTGGTTATGTGCAATTTTGACATTTTGAAAGGCAATCCCTGGCATGCCATTTTCTCTTATCAGAGGGAATACTTGATAATTGCAGTCATGCTAGGTGGTTATATGGGTTCATCAATCACTCACATCAGCTGATGGATCTTGAGTATCCTATGTTTAGGTAGGAAGAGGTTAAATTGTGCTGTAATATGTCTTTTTCTTAGTTGGCTGATTCCTGGATCAAAACCTGGCCATGGAATCCTTGTGCATATATGCACCCCACTAGTAGTACCCTTAGTGGTACTTGCCTGAGAATTGAGTTCAGTTAATGTCTGAAATGGATTTGAATTCCATATATGATATAATGAGCATTAAAATGCAACAATACTATCTGTAGCATCAGGCTACAAGAAGAATCTCATCAGGTCATAACATGTGTTTCAGTTGTAGCTTTTTGAACTCATGGCATTCCCTTTAGGAGATACCATATTTTCAACTGTACTTCTTCAAAATCATCCTTGCTGCTTTTAAGCAGTATGAAAACAGTCAATAATGATGGTGAACTAGTATATTTCTTCTTCATCTTTGAGATCACCAGTGAAATACTGAACTGATACCAACAGTGTAGTTGTTGTGTAATCACTCTGATCCAAATTGGCTAATCAAGATCATTTCGGCTGCAGTCTTTTGGGCCTGTTCACTTTCAAACATATTCATCAAGATTTTGTATCGTCATAATTCATCCAGTGAGAAAGAGAATTTGCTTATGTTTTTCTAGCACCCAAGCATAGGTAACATAATGGGAAACAGAATATTCAAGGAAATCAGAAGAACAGTTTGGCAGTATAAATTTTTCATATATATATTTTGGTAGGAGTCTAGTGATTTCATTGAATTGTGTCACAACCGGTGTAGTTCCAGAACCACATGAGATGGGACAGTCCTTGGAAAACAAGGCTGGCATCTTATGGACAGTATTAGTTACCCGAGGTTCACACAATCAGAGAAAATATGTGAAGAATGCTTTTCCTATGGAATAGCTCTTTGGCCTTGAGTTCATTGACCAAGGAATTGTTATGTGATTTGTATCATCATGGAATCAGGCCTTACACATCATGAGATGCTGTTTTCTCATTCCCTTTATGTATGTAAGTTCTGGCTTTCTGCATGGACACTGTTGGCAATATTGATGTGTTGTTCTCTGTAGTTCATATTAAAGTGCCATATAGTTTTTTATTTCTGGACTGAATATGTTTCATCCACTCATTTTCAAAGATTCTAATGGAATTCCATAGTTTTTTTTTACACATTCCACACTATTACTGATGCTGAGGCTACAGGGCTGCCAGTAGTACTGGCATGAGGACTCGTCTGATTTCCTCTCCTGTCCTTGCATTCATTTCTCATTCTTTTCAGATGATGAAAATATGTTGCTGACTTGAAGAATGTTAGTTCTGTTCTCATAGTGTTTCTTCCTTTAGTAGCAGTTGTAGAAGGTGTAGGGTGGGGTCATGGAATTCAGAAAATTGATCTGCTTTCATCCATACATCCCAACAACAATGAATTATTTTTGTACCAAATTTAATGCTGCCATTGTTTTCCCAAATAATGCCCATCTGATGTAAAGGGACACCATTTCTACAGGGTGATTCTTTCGTTTTAGTACCCTGCCTGAGTTATTCACGTTTTTTAGGGTACTAACACGAAAGAATCACCCTGTATTTTGCCAACTCTAAATGAAAGGAAAATCATGTCTAGATTGCAGCAGGCTTTGAGGGCCCAATGCACTAGATCAGGGGTGCTCAAAATACAACCCGTGGGCCAGACCCAGCCTGCCGAAAGATTCTATCCAGCCCACTGTAAGATGCAACCAGCATGATACTTTCGACCCTTAGCTTGCCTTGTGGAGTCCTCCTTGTGCCCCAGGTGAGGTAATGAGTAGAGTCCCCTAGTTCCCACACTGAGTGGCCATAGTGGGCCACTCTATCCTTCACGCCCTCGTCCTGCCCTATGTGCAGTCTGTCTTGAGCCTTCAGCCAGACAACAAGTGGGTGCTGCCTGTTTGCCTTCAACCTCAGGCTGAGTAACACATGGGTGTGCTGAGTGCGTCCCCACTCCCACAGCTGGTCGACTCTATGGACCACGTTGTGTGCTTCGAACTCTGAGCTGGTCAGTATAGTGAACTGCCATGAACTCATCCTGAGCTGACAACCTGGACCATGGTTGACAGACAGGAACCCACAGATTTGACTGTCCACATATCAGGACGAATTGCGTGTGAGTCCCCCCTACAAATGTGAGGCTGCATCTTCCCCATGTTTCTTCTTCTGTTCTTTCCCCCATTGATTATTCAGTAAATTCTGCACAGTTGTTAACGTTGATCTAAGGATGTAGTTTCCTTTCTACTTGGAGTCAGCAGAGCTAAGAGAGGTATGCCTCTACCTTGCTAAATTACCATCTAAAGAACATGCAACCTTTCTGAATACTAATCGACCACATTGGGTCTGATCCCCATATGTAGTGAGGCATTTGTGCCCCATATCCTGTGACCCCCTGGGGTTCACTACAGCCTTTTCATCTCATCTAAAAATCTCAAGCACATTTCATCCACTGTGTTCTGGACCATTTCAGGTCCCTCTTCATATGTATTCAATAGTACTGAAGAGTCTTATTCTGAATGCATCAGTCTACCACTCTTGTCTGACTACACTTAATGGCTTACTGGATCCACCTTTCAGTTCTGGGAAATGAGGCATTTTTCACTCCTCCATGACGTACTTTGGGTGTCCGCAGATTTATGCAACAGGGCACATGGCTGTACTTTTGTTTCTTGTCGGTTCCTTTCTGTCTCCCCTTGGGCATCCCAAGTTCTCGTGTTCTGTTCACCAAACACTCAGGATTATATTCCAAGCTGTTGAGTGCTTTACTTGGACAGAGAGTTGAGAGTGGATTTCTTTAGCAAGTGCATCTTTTAAAATTCAGTGTAATACCTGTTCATTGATCTCCACAGGAGCAAGTTTCTGTTATTATAGGTGTGGATATTTCTGTTTTTAAATCCATGCTTGTGCATGATTTTTCCTATTTCTGCTTTCATTATTTCATAAGTTCAAATGAAGGTTCTGAGTGACCCCCCTAAGAAGAAAGTCACTGTCCATGTGGCCCACAAGCTCAAAAAGTTTGAGCACCCCTGCATTAGATGGACAGTAACATTCAATTAGCAACCATATCCACACAGGATACTGTAGTGACAGAGGCCATGGGCTGTTTTGGTAATGCCATGAAGGATGTCCAATAAACAAATTATCCATAAGTGTGTCCATCCCAGTTGGAGTCCACATTAAGAGAAATTTCTTTATTTAATGGTATCCCAGCAATTAGCCCTCTGTCAATGTAGATGAGAGAGTCTAAGGTTTAGTTGACATCTTGTTGAATTGAGCCCAATATTAATCCCAGGTTAAGTGACACACACAAAGTGATTTGTGAATGCATTCATCATGGTATTGATGTATGTGCTGTGTCGATCATGGTGCAGTGCTTTCAAGCCATGGACCCCAGGAATAGTCAATATAAGACAAATCTTCATGCAGAGACATCCTGGTGTATTATATGGGAACTTTCTTCCAAACCAACATCCATCATCTGTGACAGTGAGAAGCATGAGTGGACAGAGCAGTGGGAAACAAAACCACCGATCTACAATTATGTATGTAGCTTCTGTAGGGATTCTCATTTTGGGCTTAAGTTATGCTGCTGTTCCTCTCTATCGTATCTTCTGCCAGGTGAGAGAGTCATGAAGGTCCTTTAACACCTTGACATATTAGTGCTATTGTAAGAGTTATGATGGCAGTTTCTTTCAGGCTTACAGTTTTGGTGGTACTGTGAATGAGAATACTGATCTAGTTGAGAAGATGAGACAGGTCCCATCCCGAAAGGTCAAGATACGCTTCAATGCAGACACAGCAGCTAGTCTGCGATGGAATTTCAAGCCACAACAGACGGAAATCTTTGTGAGTCTGCAAGCTTTAGGCCTAGTCTTTATTGTGAGTTTTCCCATGGATTTTGCCAGGAGTTCCAGGGGATCAAGTGAACCCTTTTTCTAAGAGAAAGTTGAAAAAATGAAGAAGTGAAGGCCTCCCTACTTTGAATTTTGAAAAGGATGAATGTCACAGTGGCCCATGTTGGCCCATTCTCCAGCTGATATTTGAATTTTGGCATATGATAATGACATTTTACCAGGGCACTGTCTTTCATCTGTGGTACCAGAAAGTATTTTGTTTACTCTTAGTTGGTTGCAGTTTCATAAATACAGGGAGCATATAAAGTAACTACACTATGGCTTGACAATTTGGTAAAATTGCTTCATATCATTTCATTTTGACTGTCTCATTGCCATGAATTTTGCAATTATAACTCAAAAGGCTCTGAACTTTCCTAAAATGTGCCTTGAATAGTGCAGTCGAAGTGGTGCAGTTGGTACTTAACCTGGTATTGCAGTTGAAATTTTGCATGAATTTACATATTGTCAAAGCCATATGAAGGGTGGAGAGTTGCAACCAGACAAACAGAAGAAATGAATTGTTTGACTATTGAACAGTGTTTGGATATAGTGGCACATTATTATGCAAATGAATGTAAATGTGATGCATGCAATGAGGATGTACTGCATGGAGAATGAACTGGGTACTCCAAACCACAGATGTTGATGACCCTCATCAAGTGTTTTGAACAGAAAAGTGTAAAGAGCAAAAAAGAAGCAGTGGAGCTATAATCCCTCTGGAGGTGGTAATAGAGGTGAAGAAAGTTGTGGAAGATTTTGTCACAGGAGAAGCCACCTGGTTCACACACATCACCATTTAGGTCGCATGGCAGTTGGATTTGCCTAAAATCATAGTTAGAAAACTCATTCAGTGCACTCAGACTTGATTTATATCAGAGTATTTTTCTGCAGGAGCTGCTGTTCCTTGATCCCAATATGTGCCTGACATTTCCACAGAAAATTCCTTGTCTAGATGGGAACTGATGTGGATTGATTGTGGTGCATCTTGTGGACAGACAAGGCTCACTTCCATATGTTCAGAACTGTCATCAAGCACAACTGGAGGACTTGGTCACCAGGGAATCTGCACAACATTAGACTCCAGCCCCTCCATCACCTCAGATTGACTGGGGTGCAGTTTCTCTGGTGACTTCATGACCAACCAGGCTTCTATACAGTGTCATCCACAAGAAATCATGATCAATTCATGTTGAGAAAAGCATAGAATAATCCTTGTGTGTATGAGCATGAGATATGAGTGTGAAATATTTTGTGAGTATGAAGGAAAGTCCAGTATTGAGAGTCAGGAATTTTTTTGTCTGAATATTATTCTGTCAGTTACTGCCCAGGAAAATCATCCAAATGTTTTCTATATTTGGTTTTTGGTAGTTTTTGGTGTGACATATTTAAAATATGCATTGCAGCATGTTGAGAAGTGGCTCAAAATACAGGTTATTGAAAATCATGATAAAATGGGCATCATCTGAAAACAGTCTTGTTTTTATTGGACTTCCTCTTATATTGGCATTATGCTATTTCATGCCTTTCTTAAGAGCCACCACACATTTATAGCTGCATTAATTTCAGAGTTGTGAAAATGTACTTGGCAATAATGGGCACCTAAGCATCAGATTTTTAACAGAGAACAGATTACAGAACATTGGGAAATGAAATATATGCAAAGTTCATACAGCAGAGCTACCAATGTACAAGGTTGTTCATTTAATTCATGGACAGGTGCTGTTATACACATACCTGCTTTGTTTTCATGCAAATGACTCCTGCAATCCATCCTGTCTGCAAATTAAATGAACAGCCCTCATAATTTTAAGCCATTGTCAGTGTTATACCTAGTTCATACTTGTCCTGTACAGCATGCTGGATGCTGAACACAGTACACAACAGTAGTTCATTAACAGACAACAAAACCAAGTGTTGCTTCTAGCAGATGCAGCACTGCATCTGCTAAACTGCATGTTCTAATGCAATCTCAAAAATTGGAATGGTTTCTATTCAATCCAGCATGCTTTACAGCACAGACTATTAGCCAGAGAGCATGCTGGATCCAACTACTGTACAGAAATTTTTTTAATGCATTGTTGGATTGCAATCCAGCAGCTGATGCTGGAAATAATTTTTCACTTCAGTTTGTAGTTGCAACATCCAGCATACTGTACAGTATAAGTATGAATTTAATGGCACATCCTTCATCCTCAATGCTCATTAATTGTCAATTTTTCCTAATCTTGAATACCAGGTATATCCAGGTGAAACAGCACTAGCATTTTACACTGCAACCAATCCAACAGACCGACCAATTGATGGGATTGCCACATATAATGTCATTCCATTTGAAGCAGGGCAATACTTCAACAAGATTCAATGCTTCTGCTTTGAAGAACAGCGCCTGAACCCCCAAGAACAGGTCAGCCCCAAGCTTTTGCCACTCCTCAACTATTACAGTTTGTTCAGTGTGGAAAGTCAACTGACTTCATGACAGGTCATGATATATGGGTCTTTTTTTTGTATCAGCATAAAATATTTACAAGGTGACAGTAATTTTGATTATTATTTTTCTACTATAAATTCTGAAGGTTTTCTGAGATAAGAAATCTTAACTACATGACCCTTTGAAACAAGTTCATAAAGCTCTGGAAAGTATGTACATGTTGCTATTCTACCTCCTGTAATATCCTGATGGAATGCTGTGGAAATGTGTGAATCTCTTTGGCATACTCTAAATACCTCTCAAGAATTTAGTTCGAAGTAAAATGTTGGTCCATAGTACTGCCCCCTTCACAGAAACTGCACTACTCCTCTTGGACAGTTTTTCCAAGGATTGCCTGAATTCTCTTCTCTAGCACCTTGGCATTGACCTCACTAAATTTCCCGAGAATAAGGATTTTATGCTAATTGTTGCTCTCCCTTAAGCCCCAATAGTTTTGTTTGTCTTCCTTGATTCTTTATACAATACACAATGACTCTGGCAGGAGTTTCAACAGGGTGATCAAGGGAAGATAGAAGGGTCTGTCCCACCTGCTACTTCTCTGTCTCCCTGAATTATAAAGAAATACACATGTGCCAGCTAGAAATGGAATTATTAGCTTCAAAAGCAAAGTAAAAATGGTCCTTTTTAGGCTTATAAAAGTATCAAAGTGCCTAATCCAAAACTGAGTCAGTCGTTGCATGATTTCAAGAAGTTAAAAAGAGGAACCATCCCATTGGTTTGCCAGTCCATAGGTGCTGTCCCCAATTCCATGTAGTTTGATATACATTATGCTGTCACAGATACCCAATAGTATCAATTACTTTTAATGCCTTTGCTTTATAATCCTTTGAAAGAAAAATGATAGATACATTGTTGGTGGATAACTGGTGATATTGTGCAAATCCAGGTGGATATGCCAGTGTTCTTCTACATTGATCCTGAATTTGCTGAAGACCCAAAGATGGAGAATGTGACTGAAATCACCCTGTCATACACCTTTTTTGAGGCCAAGCAAGGACTTGAACTTCCTGTTCCAGCCTTTCATGTCACATGATGTTTCTGAGAGTATCCAGTCTAGTGCAACCAGTTTGTTGTAAATGTTCTTTTCATCTGAATTCATCATGTTTCATTTTTCTGCATGGGACAAGATGGATGAGAGATCCTTTCAAATTGCTAATGCAGATGTAATTCAAGAAAATGTATAAAATTCTTCAGTATGCACAGATAGCAAGTTATGACAAAAATATCAACATGGTTTCCAAATGTAACTTTGGGAACAAGGATTTTTGCACTTAAGGTTTTCATTTGAAAGCCTTTTTGCATACTTGCAATCATTAATGCTGTAATCTTAAACAGATGCTAAATAGCAGTTATAATGTATTTGATAGACTCATGTGCCAGTCAATGACATAAATAACATTGTACCTGCAGCATGGTAAAGTATTGAGACCATTGATAGCAAGATCTCATATTCTGTTCTATGGAAGACATGGAGCTTCAACATTGTTATAATCACTTTCTTTGGTGAACTCTATGAAGGACTTGGACTGCATTCTGTCATATTCCAAGCTTGATGTAAATTCTAAATATGTTCTCTGAAAAATGCTAGAGAATTTGAAGAATTGCACCCAATTAAGACATCTATATTAAAGGGAAATGGAACTCAAGAATAGATTGGTAGTAATCAGAGAAAATGAACTTTGAAAAGAGAAGTATATGGGATATGTTGAGGGAAATACAGAGATGCATCAAATATTGAAAGGTGATTTTAAGAGGGATCAGAACTGGATGATGATGTCATCATGCAGGAGTATATATTGTTTTATGAAATTATTTCCTTATTTGGGCTTTCCATGTTTTCCCATGCCCATAGGCATCTTACTCATGTCTCTCAGGTGACAGCTGATACCGCTTCTTCAGCCCCATGATTCTGCAGTTAGTTGCTCCATGGTGAGTGGAAAACTTCTAGAAATTAATTGCCTTCATGAGGCTTGACCTGCTATTATATGACTCAGGTGTCTTAACTTGCATGTTAAAGTATCTATGTGATAAGTATGTCCAAAATAAAAATTATATCATGTTATAAGATTCCTTTAGAGTGATGAAGTGGTATCCATGCTAGAAATGAAAATTCAGAGATATGACTAGCAAAATGATATTCCTCACTCAATTGCTTCAGATTTTAGAAAGCCTATGAACATGGATCATCAGAAATTTTCCACTTCATTGGCATTTAGTTGAAAGGAGAGACATGAGGCATGAAAACAGGACCTGCATGATGACATCATATTCCAAGTATTCTTCCTCCCATATTTATGTAATTCTTGCACTATGATCAAAGCTATATGGCTTACAATTGTGTTCCTATTCCCCTTTAAAACATTAAAGCCCAACTTCTATCACTAGATTCAAAGATATGGTCAAAAATGCTAGGTACAGCATGAAACATTCTTGAAAACGGGTACATAAGAAGAGCCTACTGACTTCACTGGAAATTATGAAAAGAAAGTGAGAAAAGGGAGACCAGAATAGGGAAAAGTTACAGTGGAAGAAGCCATCAGCTGACTGTGAAAGAGACATTGTGGATAGGGAAGCTGCGTCTAATGCCAAGGCACTTCTCCCTATCTATGAACGTGCTGTTGCATTTCACCTTGATGTCCCCTTCAAGTTTGGACTTGGTCTTCAAAAGGGACTGCTGAGTCACCTGTGCATCAGCCAGCTTCTCTCGCAAAGACTCAATGCTCTTCTCCAAGTCTTTCACCTCTTGTACCAATCTAAAATATTAGTTATTAGGCCATTAAATTATCAGTGTGCATCCCCAGCCAGCAATGCCTGCTGGTGCACTCAAAATTGAGTGGAATGTGGGATATGATGGAAGTACCTATTATGGGCAGGGTCTTTGCAAAGTTCTATTTCAGGGCGATGTGTCCTTGTTTCAAGTCTGGTCTGTGCTAGTTTCAAGGGTGCCATCTTGTCATGAATGGATCTCTTGAGCATGTCTATGTGTTTTCCGACATCATACAGCTCAGCTATGACCTGTCCAAGAGAAACAGAAAAAAGTTATCCCTGAGGTACCATGATCAATTGCTTTCTGCTATGAAGACTTGCCTTGGAGAGGTGATTCTGAAGCCGATTCTTGGCTTCACTAGTCTCTGTGCATCGATATGTCAGGGCTGCATTGGTCCTTTCCCATGCATTCTGCAGGGTATTCATGCACTGGCTGACAAGATTATAGTTTTTTGTCCTTAGCTGTCCTGATGCCCTTCTCTCTCGCTGGGAATGCTGGATGTTCCTTTGTGTGAAGTCTGCCCAAGTCTCAGGGACTGTGACTCTGAGACATGAGATCCAAAAAAAGTAATTCAGAAACGTCTGGTTTATAGCTCAACACCTGGAGTACCTAGCAACCGTTATTCTTAGGCCAGACCTCTCCCTAACCTTCTTCCCCTTTCACAGTTCTTAAACATTAATGCACCTCTTGAGCTCTTGGTTTGGTCATTTCACATAATCCAGTTAGTTATCACAACCTGAAAATTCCATTTCTGAGATACTTGAGGTTGAACCTCTGGGAGGACTTTTTGGCTTGTTTTTTCTTTTTCTCAATGTGATTCTTGCTTCCCTGCAGGAGCCTCTGGGAGTTAATGGTGAAATTTGGTCATGGTGCCAAAAGGTATCCAACCTTTAGAAAAGGCCTAGCTTATGTTTGATTTGATTTTGCAGAGCTTATAAAAAGGAGAGCATAAAGGATTTTTGACAGGAACTGGGTGAAGACAGGACGACATGCACATGGCTCTTAACCCTCCCCATAGCACAATTACTGAAATTGATGAGGAATTCATGAAGCACTCCTAACAGATGTAATTGATCCTAACAGATGTGAAGCACTCCTAACAGATGTAATTGATCCTAACAGATGTGAAGCACTCCTAACAGATGTGATTCATGCAGGAATAGTTGCATATAAAATTTTTATCATGAGAACAGAGCCATTTAATAGTCTTTCCATGCATTTCTTACTCCTTTCTCTCATCTCCCCATGCAGGTGTTGTCATTCAAGACCATTGTGCCATAAGCATAAATATGCACAGGTGAAAAAGAAGTAAACAATTTATATTTTTGAGATAAAATTTTCTACCTGATGAGATTCCCATGAATATGTGTCATGCAGTATTCATGATGCAGTGGCATGGAAAGCCATTTCCTAAGTTTCTGCTTTGACCAAACCCTTGTTCTTTGTGGCAAAAATAAGCATATTGGCATTGAGATTCAATGTCAATAAGGACCAGGATCCATTAGAATTTTTTGTAGAAGTGCTATATTCAAGATGACTGGGGAAAATAGAGAGGGTCTAGCACAACATTGTCAACAATCCACTTCCATCATGATGAACACTGGATGAAGTTTGGTCAATGTGGAAACCAAAGATATGGTTTTTAAGATTTCAATTGACTATAACTGAATGGACTACCCACAGGTTGTCATTCTTTTCTATCCCCTGATAGAAATATATGCTTCGTGATTGGTTGTTGAGACGATGGCTGATCTCATCTATACATAGGGCGCTGAACTTGTTATTCTGATCTTTCTCCAGCTGCCATCGTGCCTTCCTCATAGCATCCAGCTAAAATAAAATGAGTTTTTTATGCTCACTATTAACTCTTGAGCCTAAATTAAGGGCATTTCTCTGCAAGACAGCCAGAGGGTGAGCTCAACCATCTCTAATTTTGATTAAAATTGATAGATATGCAGAGCAATAGTCATTTTAAGCAAAAAAATTTTTTCATATCTAGCACCATCCTCCAAATATTTGGATTTGAGTGCCACTTGTTTTTGTCTCCTGGTGCTCATGCAGGCTGAAACTGTGGAAGTGCTTTGGCAATAATTTTCCTCTTTTGAATGCTGTCACATACAAAACTTCAAGGCAAGAATTCCATTTGACAAAATAGTTTGACCAACTTTAGTGGGCATATCTTCACTTCCCTCAAAAAACCTAAGGCTGTAATAGTTCACTCAAAAGCATATTTTATGCCCTTTCACACTACTAAATTCAATATTAGCATGACTTGATTTATGAGGTATGACTATCTGACTGCAACAGCAATACCTTTCCTGGGGGCTGTCAGTCTTCATTAATGATCACCTGAAGAAGATTAAGACTTGACTACTCATAGCCCTATGGTCAAATCTTTTGCGACCTTCCTTTGCCTCTAGTGAGCTTTACAGGACCAAATCCTGACAGCACAAGATGTCTTTCCAAGGGAAGCTTAATCAATTGAAAGTGTCAATATTTCAGTAGTTGAGGAAAGTAATATGAAAAACAGTAGCAGAAATTGCAATTCAAGATTGCTGCTCCTCTCCAGAAATATGCAGTTTTCATGTAAATTGATCCCAATCAAACAGCTCATCACAGCATCACAGACTGACTCATACAGTCAACATTCTGCAATGGTTAGTGTGAAGGGCATTGCACAGATTGGCATCACCAATTAACTCTGCCTAAAGGACATGGTAATCAGTTAGTTTGTGACTGTTATGGCTGTGGCTTATGAAAAACATTGGTACATGGGGACTGTTTCTCTTAAACTCTCAAACTCTGAGAAAATCATAATGTTGCTATGAGGACCAAATAGTACTGATGTCTAGAAATAAGGAGAGATGTAGAGCATTGCTTCCTTGTATCCTATTGATGTTCTAGACACATCCTCTGGATATGTCTGGAAAGTTTCCAGGGTGCACTAATAATAGGTTTAATCTCCCCTTTGAAAAGTTAATGGACTTCTTTTTTTCATTAATTAATTTCAAATTAATGAGCTTTGTCATTGGAATGCACAGAAGAACTCAAATGGATGTCATGTAGGACCTTTGATTCAAATTTTCACTTATGTGTGGTTTCTTGAATTGCTCACATCTAGGAAAGCAATGAAGTTCCAATATTGAAGTTGGTGCAGTTAAGCAGTGCATATAAAGCACTTTTAAATGAGTGATAAGAATTTTGAATTCTTGGAGGGACAAGTTCTTCTGAAATTGGTAGGAGTGACTCTCCCCTGGACAGCCCATTTGACACTGCTGTTGCAGTCAAATGGTCATTTCTCATCAAACAATCTGATGCCGATTGGATTTTGTCTTTTTGGAAAGGGCATAAAATATGTTTTAGAATGAACTTTCAAAATACTGAATTTTTATGGGAGAAAGTATAGATATTGGTCACTGATGTCTTTAGAGGTGCTAAATGCTAAAATTGTGTTATTTGAAAGAGGGGAATTTCACCATTAATATGACTTCAGAATGAAACTTGTATCTTAATTCGGAGAGAAGTTATCGCTGAAACACTTTTATAGTTTCTGTCCAGATGCACCAGGAACTTCAATGAGTGTCAGATCTCTGGAGAACAGTTCAAGATATCAGAAAACAGCATCTTAAACAGTTTAAAACAGCATCTTAAATTCCTTTACATTGCTTCTGATAATCATCAAAATTCTAAATGGTCAAGCTCACCCAGACACATTTGTGGTGGGATGGCCCTATATAATTTATTTATGTTGAAAAGCCTTCAAGAGGCAAAGCCCCTCTTGATAACCCTCTTGCAAGATTTTGTATTATTTTAAAAGGTTGTGTATATCAATACAATAGCATAACATGAGGTGTCTAGGAACATTGAGGCAACTTGGAGCACATTTTGACTTGCATATTAATGCTATTGCAAGGGCACTAAACTTTATTTGCAATGCAATTAATTTCTGCCTACGAGTGCAAGGAAAAATTCATTTGGCTGCAAGTTAGATAATTTCCCTTACAGCAGCATTAAATTGCTCATCCAAATCTGTTTGAAGTTATCCAACTCACCTGAGTCATGCCACTTTACAGTAATTCAAGATGTTGAGATAATGTAAAGATAACAGTACTGTTCATGCATATGCTGACCTGATGATCAATATTCTTCAGAGCTTCCATCAGTTCTTTTTGACACTTTTGGATGATCTTGCATTCATCAATTAGAGCCTCCTGCACTGCATCATGAACCAAATCGATACCTAGGGAGATTAAATCTTGAGATATATATTAACGCTTTCACTGCTAGGGGTTTGTCCCTGCACTGGCATCTGGTTTCAATGAAATTCAAGAAATATCCTTCATATAGATGCAAGCAAAGCAGTATTCCATTCACAGCAAGCTATGTTCTCCAAAACGTTCAACACATTGACTGCTGGGGATTTAAATGCCCTTAAATATCCTGGCCAAGCACTGCAGGTTGCTGGAGACTTGCCACATCTAATACAATATGGCATGAATGGCAGTCATTGTGTTAAAATAAATTGCAGGCTGAATAATGGAAATTAAAACTCACCTTGGCGGTTTTCTCTGAGGATGAGGCATTCCTTAGCTATGGATAGAGGCTGTTGGGTGTGTTCCAGGCTTTGTGTGACATGCTTCTTCAGCTCTTGGAGTCTAGAGGTTTCAGTTATCAGTCTGTCAGTTTCTGTATTGAGTTCCTCTTGCCAGTACTTAATGTTGGCAATCCTCTCTCCAAGGCATTCTCCTGCTTCCTTTTGTCCTTCTTGGGTTTTCTGCTCAGTGTCCCTAATATACCAGAGACCATTTTAGTTTGTGAGAGGAGGACATTGCTTATAGCTTTTTGAAATGATATAATACTGTATGAGACGAATGGCATCAGAGCGCATGGACTCAGCTTCAGCCCTGGTGTTGTCTGCCAGATTAAAGTGCCGTTGATTGCTGATAAGCCATTCTTCAGGTGTGTAGCGAGTGAGAACAGAGGAGTTAGTGAGGTTTCCACAGATCTGTGGCAATTGATGGGAGTAGTCAGCCTTATAGGTAGTCTGATAGCGCTTGCGGTGCCATAATGATGCAGGCAGCATGTAGCTATGGTTGGAAGACATGGACATGCTAAACAGTTCATGTAGTGATTGGAAATGGCCACAGAGCAACTGTACTTACCTCTCCTCAAGTTCATAGGTGTTTGGGTGATCCATCTCTGTGTGTTGGCTGATTGGTCTTCTGGTCAATCTTATTGAAGAAAGTGCCATATTTCATCATCATCAGCTGTATGCATTGAATGAGGATGGATGTCCCAAGCAATGCACCAGAGCGTAAGTCACCATACTATATTCATGCTTCTTCCTCTGGTTATTTCACCATGGTTCTTTCAACTTCCCATCACAAAATCTGTCAGGGAAGGTTTACATATGCAAGTGTATTTGCATGTAAGTTACTTGTGGTATATGAATTGCACACATGGAAGATCATTGGAATGAAACCCATGTCAGCATGGAACCCAAATCTGGCTTCATTATCTCATATGAACCTTGTTTGTATTTACCACAGATTCCAGTGGTGCTTCTAAGTTTAAAATAGAATACTTCCTTCTTGATGGAGAAAATATAATTTGTACCATTGAGAATTTCTTCTTGTTCTTCCATTGAAATTGGGTTTCCACATTTCCAAAAGCCCAGAATTTGACTCTCCTGGAAGTTCTGGAATAGGAAAGAGTAGGGACTGCCCTTTTCTTCTTTGTTACTGTCTCTTGTGGAGGTTTTGACTGAGGGTGGAACTTATTTGATACTGGCTGTCAGTTATCAGCCTTTATTCATATATATCAAGTATCAAAGGGATAGTTGGGGTGCAGTGCATGCAGCTCAGATAAGCCTATTTATTCTGTCTTCTTATGCCTTGTTATTTTTAGCTCTGAAAAAGGCTATTGTCTTAGATTAAGGAAGATCATTTGGCTTGAATTGAATAATAGCCTATAATCAGATGGGAGCACTTTTCATGAATGGCTAACTTGATTATACTCTTCAAGTTTCAATGACATGAGTCTGAGAGCCCTTTTCATCATATGCCTAAAATATTTATTGATCTTAGTCAAATCAACTAAAATTGTATCAAACTTTGGGGACCAGTCAAAAATGTCTTAACTCAAACTTTTGGCATTTTTGCATACACAATAGTATTTTATCCATCATATGCTTCAGCATCTTTGGAGATTCTTGGAATCTGCCAAAATGAAGTGAATGTTTATGAATTGTCTCTTACTGCATAGTAGTATTCAGTAGATAGTAACAGCAACATGCTCATGTTTGAACTCCACTATTCCTCAAAAACAACTCCAAATCCATGTGGAAGTTTTTATTGATCTTAAATTTTGAACCCATTAAGCCTGCTTGCTATACAATTGGTTTGTGAACCACTCATGAGCCACTATATAAGGTATCCATGTGTGATTATAAATTGTATTGTTGATACATTTATTGAACTGCCAGGAAAATTAAAAATAACTATGCTCTCTCCACATAGCTTGTTCATTTATTGAGTTCTTCTGGTATGTTAGTAATTCCATTCAGCTGCACATCACTGCTCTTTGTTCTTGGGGCAGAATATTACTCTTTCCACTCATGCAGAAACCAGTTTTTTTGCCTAGCTAACAAAATCTTCAAGATTTGCTGGTTTCTTATAATACTTCAATCCTTTCATTGTAAAAGATATCCATTGATATATATAGGTATTGAAGAGTTTTGACTCTATAGCAGCAGCAGCTACTTGAGGAGGGCTACATCAGCTTCACAATATCTGGAGTGACAGTTAGGCACAACCACATATGTTTATGTAAACAAGATTCGGAGCCTATTCTGCTAAGAGTAACATTGTCAAGAGACTGTTATATTGCACTTATTTTAGTTCATTCTCCTACAATTAAATGAACATATTTTCTTATATGGTTTGAAATTTCAAGTTTTACTGTAATTCATGATTATGCCCATTTATTCATGATTATGCTTAAGAACTTCCCAATTAGTTTGAAATTATTTGTGAAGAATTTATGAAAAAACTGGTGAGAAGAATGCTATTGATTCCTATAAGTAAATGAAGCCTTAAAAGTAATTTTCCTTCCCTGGGCAGGCTCAGAAAACCCCAAGAGTTGGCACATAATCACACAGAAGCAGAATATGCAATGTATGTATCTTAAACTTCTCAAGGGGATATGCCTAACCTCTGTTACTACATTATATTGGAGCATGTCAATCATGTGGCCATGGCAGCATGAACATAGTCATGTCTGCTGTTCATGCTCTCTCTTCATGAATTTGAGTCTTTCTTTGGTCACTTAGTTACATATTTATTTCTCTTGTACACCTTAGTTTGTTTGTTTTCTATCATATGTATGAATATGAATTGCTAAGAACTGCACATTCTTCATCTCTTTGAGTTGCACAAGTTCAAGCTAGACAGGATTGCTGGAAGGCAAGCTGTCTGGTCAAGAACCATACTGGCAGCAATTTTATACTCAGGGTATGGCAAAAGAAAGACCCCAAACTTTATCACTTATATCTCTGCTTTTACTGAAACTATTTTTTTTTTAACTGGCATTGTTCATAGACATATTTCCAATACCTTTTTGAAAATTTATGCAATTTATTCCACCAATGCAAAGCTGAGGGCAAGTATCCAAAGAAATCAAATTGAAAATGGACTGCTAACTGGATTCCCATCAGGTTGAATGAATTTTGTGAAAACTCTCTGTTGATACCTATTGATTCAGCAGTCATTAACTGAGAAGGAAAGGCCAGCCCAAAGAATGAAATAGTATGGATGAAATGTTTGATGTGAGCTGGATGATATGCGACAACAGAGGTTCACTACCTAAAAGTTGGGGAACTTTTTTGCCATACCTTGTAGGAATACTTTGTCTCCCATGTAACTTCTTATTAATGCATTATATCCACAACTATTAAATGTATTTATATCCTACTTTCCTCCAGTATCTTCTACACTTCAGCAAGATATTTATTTGGAGGTGCATCCTGTGGTTAGAAGTGAGCTCATTACGAATAGCAATACAATGATAAGGATTAGGCCCATGTATGTTTACATGTGGTGATCCTCACATGGGAAATTCTAGATTGTCCTGGGACTCAGAGTGAGTCAGCAGGGAAGGTGTCAGCATGCCAAGGCTGCCCAAATCAAAGTGTCTGTGCATCAGGCCAAGCCCAACACCCTGATCCAGGTGGGAACTTGTTACTTTTCCTCCTCATTTAGATATGAATATAGCAGGAATTGCATGAACCTTTGAACAGGATCTCTTTTTTTTCTCTCCAGATATTGAGATCATAAAGAAGACACTTGCATCCATCAAACACAAAATTCTAATCCTTTCTGGGAAAGGAGGAGTTGGGAAGAGTGCTCTTACTGGGATGCTGGCCTTTGGTTTGGCTGCTGATCCACAGAGGAATGTGAGCACCGCTACCAATTTTTTTTTCCTGGTGGTTTTCATTTTTTTGATTGGGTATTAATCACCATGGAATTTTTGAGAAGCACCTAACCCAAATATGTGGATATCTCTTGTGTTGCCATAAAAGCTGTGGCCTGGGAAATGCTGAAGAATTTGGGCTATATGCTGCAGTAGAATACCAATGTCTGCCTTGCAGAAAAAGGGTGTGAAGGGAGAAAATATATATAGGTCACTTTTGACTTAATCCATTATTGGGATGTGTTGTTTGATTTGAATCTGGATTCCTACTATAGAATATAGAAGCATCTGTTAGGCAAAAAAAGAAGGCAAGAGAAAACTATGCACCTGTAGAACTTAGATGATGAACACTGATATAAGTAAGTTGGTTAGAGAGAAGTGTGAACAACAAGCAAGTAGAGCACATACTGAAGGGAACCTTGCATGCAGAGAAGGAGATATATGTGACCTGGCCTGGATCTGTGGGGGGGAAACAGGGAGCCAGTTTAATCAATAGAAAGGCTCACTTCCTGGCACCTGCTATCTTGACCTCCTTTGATATATCACATCTCCTTAATTGGCTCCGTTCTTCCGCCTGATTTATTCATCCATGCCAAAATAATATATCCATCTGTCTCTGTCTTTCCAGAAAGGATTGAGTGTCATCTGGATAAGGGAATGCTTATCTTTATGCAGGAAGGTCTGGTTTTTAACCATTACAATGAAAATGAACTTGCTACAAATGGAAGTTCTTATTCATCATGCTGGAAAAAAAGGAGCTAGTTTTCAAGCTGTTTGAACAATTGATATGTTTTTTCATTCAGTAAAATCATATGGAATATTACCCAGGGACAAATTCACTTCTTCCTCAGGAAAATGTAGTCTGTGGCAGTCACTCAGAATAGGTGTTTTTCCATGTTGACATATAACATGCTTCATTCCTTCTGACTCTGGGCCACCAAATTCATAAATCTATGAATGTGTGTTCAAGGTAGGAGTGCTGGACATAGACATATGTGGTCCCTCGATTCCAAGAATGATGGGTTTGGAAGGTGAACAGGTATGTTTCCAATTTTCATTTATTTCCCTCCACCAGTATCTTGCTTTCCACAAAAAGCAAAGATTGTATTATTATCAACCCAATCCACCCAATTGACATGAACATCAACCTATAGTTGACGTTCATGAAACAAAAGTTCAGTAAACATCATTCCACAAAAAGAAAAGATTGTTTTATTACCCCCCCCCCCCCCCCCCCCAAAAAAAAAAGTGATATCTCCTGAGCTATGAGGCCTAAAAAAGTATTTTAAAAAAGGAACTTCCATTTGCATACTTTGGGTAAGGTCTACTATACAATGCCTCTCCCTTGTCTAGTTGCCAATTGTGTCCAATTCTTCCATTTTGCCAATCTCTGCATCATGCTCTTTTAGCAGATATTTGTCAGGCAGTTAATAAAAAATAAATTAAAAAATCGGTTGTGCCACCAGATTAGAAAAAGCACAACAATATTGAGAACTTCCTATGGAGGAAACTACTGAACGGATGTTTACTGAACTTTTGTTTCATGAACGTCAACTATAGGTTGATGTTCATGTCAATTGGGTGGATTGGGTTGATAAGGAAGGAAACATTCTTATGGAGATGGGGTAGATATTGAAAGCGTTTTATGATAAAATCCATTATGTCATAAGCTGCACTCTATGCCATGCTGAGTTGCAATCAATTGGAGCACTGAAAGTGGAGGGGGTTGTGCATGGAAGGCATAATGGTGTCCTGTCCACCTTCTGTCATGGTCATGAGATTTGGTCATTGATTGATGGAGTGAAAAGGAGGAATAGAGGGGATAATGGGAGGGTTAGGTATAGGAACAGGAAGAGACCTTGATGCATTGAGGTGCTGTCTTCACTGCATGCAATCCCCCCATCCCCAAGCAACCTCCATTTTTTTCTCTCACATGAATCCCATCCCATGGTAATCACAAGGAGCGTCAATTTTTTTCTGCTTTTGTATTGTATTCACTTTTGTTGTCATCAGAGAACAGACATCCCAGACAAACCTTTTAAGCAATTTTTTTTCTTCTCTGGCAAGTTAATAGGAATTTCTCCGAAAAGCTGGCGGGAAGCAATGGTTATCGCCATACGAAAGCCCGGCAAACCACCAGATAAGCCCGCCAGCTACCGCCCGCTATCTCTCCTCTCCATCACGAGCAAGCTGATGGAGAGGGCTCTACTAGCCCGCCTCACATCGACCATAGAAGCAACTTTGCCGAAAGAACAGGCTGGTTTCCGCCCCGAAAGAAGTTGTTGCAACTAGGTACTAGCTCTCACGAACAACATCGAAGCCAGTTTCCAGCGGAAAAAAGACATTGCCCTAGTCGACCTCCGCTTACGACACCGTGTGGAAGGATGGCCTCCTCCTTAAAGCATCTACACCAGGGTGTCCAACTCAATTTGGCGGGGATAAAATTTGGTCAAAATTGGTAATAATAATTAAAAATTTGGTTCAGGTGTGTTTGGAGGCCTCACTAACAAATCTCATTCACATTTTTTATGCGAACAAGTGAAATGTGCAGCACTTTTCCGAAATCAACTATTAAAGAGGAATTCGCAGGCGGGCGAAAACAAATTGGCGGGTCGGATCCGGCCCGCATGCCGCCAGTTGTACACCCCTGATCTACAGCCATCAGATGCCGCAGCACGATATTTGCCTCATAGCCTCCATGTTGTGCGACCAGAGATACTGAGTACACAGAAATGGACAAGTCAGCAGACCCCATATACTCGATAACGGGCTGCCGCAAGGTCTCGCATCGCAGGGTTCAACAATCCTTGCCATCGGCGACACCCTCACCACTGACCTGGACTGTATAGCGATGTAATTCCAAAGATGGTCAGCCCAAACCCAACTAAAACGTCGGTCACTGCATTCCACCTCGACAACCTCGCCGCAGAGAGACTCTTCATGTCTTCTGCGGCCATCAAGTAAATAATGAGGCTACACCAAAACATCTCGACGTTACCTTGGACCGCAGCTTCACCTTCAGACCCCACCTCGAAAGGACACACGACAATGTAAAGGCTAAGATCAGCATCGCGCGCAAACTGGCTGGAACCTCTTGGGGTGCCAGGGCGCGCACACTACGAACAGTGTCACTAGCGCTAGTCTACTCGCCTGCGGAATACTGTTCTTCCGTTTGGTCGAGTAGTGCACACACCAAGGACTTGGGACAACACATTCAACGCATCAATGCGTTTGATTACTGGGACACTAAAATCCACCCCCACGCTCTCTTACATTCCCCCTTCCGACATCCGCAGAGACGCACAGACATCACGCGTTTATAGCCGAATAAGAGCCAATCCTGATCTTCCAGTTAATGAGGACCTAGAAAATCCGCCGAAGTTCCGGCTAAAATCCAGGAACCCGCCCTAGGTCAGAGCTAACGCTCTCGACGCGTCCTCCTTTGACCTGGAGGAACAGTGGAGAGCCATCGTTTAAAAAAAAAAAAAAAAGGCTTGTTTCTGGCCCCACTACAGAACTTGCTGGCTTCGGCCTGTCAAGGAAATAGTGGACCACGCTGAACCGCATCCGCACTTCGCACGGCCCATGCGCCCACCTCTTGCACCGGTGAAAAATCAAGAGAAGCCCCAGATTTGATGGCAGTTTCGAAGATTAAACCATCCAGCATATTATCCATCAGAGCTCACTCCGTTCATTTGCAGGCCAGGTCAGAAGAGTATATAAGGTTGGGTCGAAAGCGAAGCCCAGAATAATGGCTGTTCGAGCCCTATGGCAAATGATGTCACTGGTATACACCTGCCCTGACTCCATTCTCGTTCTTGGTTTTCCTCCGATGTTATATTATTTGAAGCATAATGTTCACAATTCGTAACCGATCGCTCATTTAACAAAAAATTGCAGAAGGGAATGCATCGGATGGGAAAGAGGCGGGGAGGATTCCGTACTGAAAAGTTCGAGGGGGATGCGACTGTAGTGAGAATATATTATCATTTACGTATATTGTTAACATGGGTCATTTGCCCTTTTGAAATGGCAATGAGAATATGCGTTCATTGTCAGGCTTCCTCGTTCTGTGTTGCTGCATCCCCAAATCAGAGGAAGGGAGCTTGTTGGTCATGGTCATGGCAACTCACGTGATTTTCATGAGTACCATGAGAATATTCCTTCTCACCACTTCTACAAGAGACTTTTATTTCTTCCTCACCTTCTTACCCTTGCTGAGCAACTCAGAATTTATGAAGAGAATCCAGATGAACAGCCACGGTATTACAAATATTCGGGATACTCGCTGGTTGAATTAGAATTTCGAATGGATCATCTCTGCGAAATATGAGAATCAACTCCAAAGGGTTGTTTTGTGATCCCTCCCTCAGTCCACTTCAGGAATTTCATATTCCGTGCATTTCCACTGCATCACTTTGGTCTTTCCCAACCCAGGTTCCTTTGAAACGATGAAACGAACATTTCTCTCCATCAGCTTCAAAAGCAGATGTTCTTGCAGGTGGTGTCTGCACATACGATCAACATCTGCAAATGCTATGAACACACAGCACCACAATCTGGAGATGCAATCATTCGAGTGCAATTGAATGGAGGCGCAAAGTACAATGTAATATGGGAAGAAAAAACTAACCGGTATTACGTTTTTAACAAAAGGGAAATAAATATAAATGTAAAAAAGGGACTAGAAAAATGAGATTTTATCAGTCAGCCGAGGAGAGTGTATACCAATGACGTCATTGGTTCTCGAGCCCCACCCCCCGCTGGGATATAGCCCAACCTTTTCTTCTTACCTGGATTTTCAGGCACCATACTGTAGAGGAAATCCATGGTCTTATTCCAACAGCCTCCATCTGGATCTCCAATGCTGATATAAACTTATTAATGTTCCTGAGCACCCACCATATGCAAGAAGACAGAAATTTCTATAAAGCCATATTTTTTCTTACAGAAGCTCATCATTTCTAGGTATGCTCAGTAGCAGGAATAACTTCAATTCTCAATGATATTCAGGGAATGCCTCGCTCACAATGAAGTTGAAGGTTGCAAAAGGTGATATGCTCTAGATCAATTCAACTTGAAGTGATTAAATATCACAAGTAGAAATTTATTCAGATGAGATAATTTTCATTAAACCATTGCTCATTCACAATGCCCTAATCTTTTATAAAATAATATCAGTATAAGTTGAATTTATGTTGTCCATGTCATCCAAAGTTTTGCCATAGGAGGCCAGTATAGAACATATGGAGCAGGCAGCTTGTGATTATCATGTTGAAGTGCAATAAAAATTTGAGAAGGATATTTCTTTGTACTTAAATATGAAAAATGAGGAGCTCAAAATGAAATAGGAGCTCTTGGTGGATTCTATTAGGAAATCCAGTGAATTTTTCTGCAGTAAAAATCATTTTCTATTATATATTATGGATGCTGAGACATGATAATTTTGCCTGCCATTCTAAGGGGTTTTGATTGCAAGAAACAGTCACTATAGAACATTATAGAACTCATGATCATGAGCTTACCAATACATTTTACAAAAAAGTAAGGTCAGGCAACAAAACATGAGACACTGGTATTTATCAATTACCTTAACATAGACCTGATATGCCACCATTAATGGTTCATCCCTATAACTTGACGTAGATTTCTGCCCCTTGTGTTCTCATTTTCCTGTCTGGTTGCATGTGATGAACCTCTTCCTAAGATTGGTTTCTTGAAGAAGATATTCACTCCAAAAGCAATATCCAACCTCCTATTCTGTCTGTCCTTGTCCACAGGTCCATCAAAGTGGGTCTGGATGGTCACCAGTTGTGAGTTCTTTAATTCATTGGTGCTCTTATTTTAGTCTCATAAGTTAGTCATGTTTTGTGAGACTTCATGTTGTTTATCTAAGAGTGATGAAGTTGTTCCCTTTTATATGCAGTATGACAATTTAAATGGTTGTTACAAAAGCCTAATTATGCCTGCCTTAGTGTCACAGAGATATGCAGGATGGATATATTCTCACTTATTTTGCTTCTAGATAAATCTCATTCCCATTTCATGTTGACCTGATTCCATGTAGCATATCTCAGAAGAGACAGTCCATTGTTATCTATAGAAGAATTTTCCTGACTATTACAATCTATGCCTTTGAAACCTCCAGTAATCAAAGTTTCTATTTTCTTCTGGTAGCCATTGCCTACTCCCATCAAAGCAAGAGCTCTGTCAGCCTCAGTAAAAGTTAAAGGGGTTGTCAAGGACCATAAATACTATGCTGTTAAAGGGCTTATCCTGACTTGAATGATACATACAAGGTGACCCAAATGAAAGGTGCAGTGTGATAAATAAAACAATTTCATCTTAGAGCAATGGCTTGCTTATTAAACAATTTGCTAACAATATTTCAAGATATGTAGTCTCCCTGCTTCCATGGAAAGTTATAAACTTCTCTAACAAAAGTATGTGTTTTTTTTGTAGCATCCAAGAGGCAGATTGGAAAAACTAAAGACAATAGGTAACTGTCATGTATTTGCTGATGGGAGTGCCCAACTTTCCAGGAAACCTTATCTTATCAGTAATATATCCTGCAAGTTTAGGAAGGGAAAGATAGTCTGGAATTTCAGTAAGGAAAGTTGGACTAGGTTCATGTGTATGAACAGACAAGGGCTGGTTTTTCCAAATAATTGTGCAATCCTGTAAACAAGCACAAAGCACCTATTTTTTCTTTTACCAATCTCCCTTTTGTTAAAGCAGGTGAATATTAGTCAAATAACTAATTTTTACCTGCTTTTACAAAATAATGAACAATGAAAAGAATCTGGGATATAAAAATGTAACTTGTTGGCCCACTGCACATGTGAGGTTATTGCTCATCTGAAAAATGAGAGTCAAAAGACAGACATTTGGAGAATTAAGGAGGCTGCATGGGTGAGTGCTTTCATTTTTGGAAGACTTCCTGACAGATTTAACCCTTTCTGGCCCAGTGAATCCATATTAAACCTGAATTTTATTAGTGCATAGCTGCTCTCATTTCACTCATTGTCCCCCACTTGGACCCATGTGTAGCTTGCCATAGATGTCAATTTATGAGTTGGCAGCACTTGAGCCACTCAGTCAGATTTCAGCTAACTCAATCCTCACTTTCTTCTACTATGCACTAATAAAATTAATGGGTTCATGTGGGCCAGACCTACTGGACCAGAAAGGGTTAATAACTAGTGAATCATCAGAAAGGATTCTCTGTTTGTTGGATTGTTTCATAATTATATTGTTTTCCCCAGGTGTGGTTTTTCAGATGGCCTTGTACATTAATATATTTTTGTATTATTCTATCAAATAGAAAAAGTGGAAATGTGCCTTCTGTATAAAATGTGCCAATATTATTATAGATGGACATAATTCCAATTACATGCATATTTATTTTTCTTATTTTAGCACATTCCTAAAGATGTGCCAAGATTGAAGTGTTAGAATAAAGACCAACAACTTATAAAAGCTTTTCATCCATGATGCTGTAGTATGTTGATGAGAACCTGGCAGTGATATCAGTTGGTTTCCTCCTTGGAAGCCCAGATGATGCAGTCATTTGGAGAGGACCCAAGAAAAATGGTCAGTTAATTTGGTTTTTGCCTATTGCTGTTTGCTGTTTTGTGATTTCATGAGAGATTTACTACTCACAAACTGTGTATCAAGTACTTATGTGCAGGTATTTCAAGTATATGTTAAGTACAGTAATGGTACTGATTAATGAAGTACAAGGTGTTAGGATACAGACATATATCATGCCCCCCCTGCTTAGCACTCATTCAGCCTTTAAAAGAGAGAAAATATTTATATTCTTTTTTTGTTTCTTTCTCTCTTCTCTTACCCTCATTTTCCGTTCATAGCAGGGAATTTATAAATAAAATAAAAATGAAATTCTACCCTGGTCAGTCTCCATTTCTACAGACTTTCACTTTTGTCTACAATCCTTGTAAAAGTGAATCCTTCACATTGACAGCTCTAAATAAAGAAGATTTAAGCAATCTTTTGATGAATAAAGAAAGCAGTGTGTTTAGCAACATGTAGAGCCATTGCATTAGCTATATTTTCTCAAATATGAAATTAAACAGAGCAAAGTTACTTTTTTTTTTACACATCAGGCCAGGGGAAAATTTTATTACAAAGAGGTTTTATTTAATACACCATCTTTAAAGTCAGGACCCACCCATGAACATACTATACATAGCCATTGCCTCACCTGTCAATTTGGTGTTGGTGTAAATGGTATAAATGACAGATTGAACCCATCCCATATGGAAAATGTTACCTGCATGTCCATTTTCCTTTTGACAATATGCACCACTCTGTGGGGCAGGGCTGAAAGTAGCAGTGGTGCCAGACCAGTCTTTTATCACCAACTGCTACTTGACAACCATGCCTCCTTAGACTGCAGTGAGCTCCTGTGGTGCTGCCACCATGCTGTCAACTGATGTTCAAGACCAAGCACATGCTATGTACACCTGCTGACAGGAAGTCACATGACCACATAGCCCCACATTTATGTTACACCATGTCAACCATTACTTATATGGATGGGCCTTGACTTAAACAGGGTGTATACAGGGTATGGCAAAAAAGACAAACTTTTAACCTGTATATTTCTACTTTTATTTTTTTTTTGCTACACCCTGCATATCTTAAAAAAAAAGACTGGAACTACCCATTGTTAAAATAGCAATTATCTATGAAATAGTAATAATAAAGTAATAATCAAGCATTTGCTAAGTAGAATGGAGCTAGGACAGAAATCCACCCAACTATGACTTTTTATTTGAAAATGCATGTCACGTGTCAAGGATGCTAAAATGCCTTTCTCTGAAGGCATCTGACTTTCCTGTTGTTTTCAAGCAGATAGAGTCCCTCTTTTTCACTTGATCGTTCATTAACCCATTTTAAATTGATAAATAACTCCATATCATTGGAAAAATTAAATAAGGATATTTTTTTCAGTGATGTGCAATATATTGTCATCCCAGTTTAGGATAAAAGGCACTAAGAGAAAAGGACGGACTATACCAGCACTTTCAGGCAAAGAGATTGGGAGGTTTTTCTTTGCATAGGTATATCACTACCAACAGGTGAGCAACCTTCACCCACGTCAAGAAACTGAAAAATAGATGATGCATAGGCCACAGCAGCTGTTCATTCAGTTTTCCAGATGGTGCCTCAAGCCTAATATGCTGGAAATTGGTTTAGTTTGACATGCAATTAAATCTACAATTAGTCATTCCTTATGGTGTTATATGAAATGCTCACATGATGTGATTCTTCACACTTTCAATAGGCATGATCAAGCAGTTCCTTCGTGATGTAGACTGGGGAGATACAGAGTACTTGCTTATTGACACTCCTCCTGGGACTTCAGATGAGCACCTGTCCATTGTCCAGTACCTTCTCCCAGCTGGTTTGGATGGGGCCATCATCATCACCACACCACAAGAGGTGGCCCTTCTTGATGTCCGAAAGGAGATCAACTTCTGCCACAAGGTCAACCTCCCAATCCTTGGAGTGGTGGAGAACATGAGCACCTTTGTTTGTCCCAAGTGCCATGTGAGGACTGGATGCATTGCTCAATGATATTATGCATTCATACACAAATGCTGAACTCACCATATTCCATTCTTTGTTGATGATGACTAGAAAGGTTCGGAGATCTTCCCTGCTTTCACAGGGGGAGCTGAGAAGATGACCCAGGAAATGGGGATTCCCTTTCTTGGGAGAATACCTTTGGATCCCATAATTGGGAAGATGTGCGATGAAGGCAGGAGCTTCCTCATACAACACCCTGATTCCCTGGCATCTAAAGCTGCCCTTTCCATCATTGAAAGTGAGTCAGAAAGACCTTTTCCTGTACTATTGATGCAGTCCCACATCCTTTCCTCTCTTCATTGACCTTCCCAGTTTATTTTTCCCTCATTGGCCAGAATCTGCAAATGAATATCTTCAGTTGAATACTAAGATACTCTCAGCATGAAGAGCTATGGTAATTCACTTTTCCAAATTGCTGGTTTCAAATTTTCAAGTACAGTATATGTATGGCACATTCATTGTTTGCAAATAAATTTATCAATGCCCAGTTTTGATCTGACCATATTAACCAAAGCTGATAATCTTAAGCCAGCCTAGATGTTCTTAAAAAAGTGAGGGGGTGTCCAGCAGTATGCCTGATGCCAGCATCTGATTCAATGCAAGTGTCAGCTGAAGGATGAGATTTCTGCTATGGCTCAACTAAAATATAGATTTTTGTTGCATGGAAGAGAGCAGAATTAGTATGAACCTGTAAGTCTTCATTTAGGTTGAATATGCAGTAATTCAGAGGCATGGCTAATATAACTTGACCTAGTTGTTTGCCACAGAGAGAGATTTACTCACACCATAACTTTTTAAATTTTTTTGCTAGGGAGAGACCTGAATTGTGCATTCTTTTCTTAGAGAAGAGATGAGGGAATCTGCCACTGGGTTGTATTCACTTTTTCACACGTTCCCATCATTCTTCCTCTATATTAGCATTAGATTTGAGAGTACAAAAAACATACTGATAGTGCAAATCATGCCATACCATTCACAGATTCTAGTGCTGCTGATATATTGGTACTATGTGTTTAGTTAAACCTCAACAATAAGGATGGTTATTTATCACTTCTGGTACTGTGATGTTACAGCTGACAATACCCACTTCTAAAAAATCACCTGTGTTCCATGCCTTATAAACATGCATGTTTAAGGAGGCCTATTATAGTTGAGCAAGAGCCAAATCTCTTTTTCAAGTCAAGGTGAAAAAGAGATTTGGCCCAACAAGACATTTGGAACGAGACAGTAATTAATTATGTCCTCTCTTCCAATGACAGAGATCCAAAATGCATGCAATCCAGGAAAGGTAATGGGTGAATCTGGCTGATGGCAAGTTCAACCCTGAAAGAAGGCCTATTTGGTGGAAGAAGATGGACAAGATCCATTCCACTAGAAGTTCATTGCCCTTTGAAGAGTCACTACTTTCACATTAGACGATATAGGCTCTGGATCTTTATGTTGCTCATGTATCTGGTGGTTTTGTTGCCAATAAAAGCACTATACATTTGTATCCAGTCTAATTTATTATACTGTCATTCTTGACTGAACCTACAGTATATTAGTCCACTTTTTCTGGATTTTATATAGTTGTCTTAGATCAAGGACTTGCTCAACACTGAAAAATTCATTGCATTTTCTGACTAGATTCATCCTGATGTAAGTTCAAAACACAGTACAATCACACCTTTTTTCAGACTAGATTGACTATAAGTTAGATTTTGAATATACTGAATTATTAGTTCACCTTCATTTCAAGTTTCACAAATGCCTTAACACTTGGGTCAGGGATTCTCTCAATGGCTTCCAGAGCTGTCTTCCCTCCATCTTGATAATAATCGATGAGTTCATTAATAAAAGTAAGCCATACACAATTGACACAGCCAGACATGCAGCAGGTATTTGGAACCTCTGGGGGTGGCCCTCTTCCCAGGATTTCCTCCAACTGGATCTGCTTCCATGGGTCATTACCAGATATAGCTCCTCTGGTGTACAAGTGTCCAACCATATTATTTAGTCGACATGTGAATGTTATTGCAGTATTCCTCTTGCATATATGTTGTCTCCCAGGGTGTCTCACCCTCAGACGAAGGAGCCATCGCATTTTCAGTTCATTCATGGGACATAACCTGTTAACCATACCAAGGAAAGAATATAATGAGTACCACCTATTCAGCTAGGGTGATTGTATAGTATCTATGACTATTCTATAAATGACAAACTTATCCCCATCCCCACCATATTTCACCCATGGACACTATCACTCCCAAGTTTTTAACAACCAGTCTCAGAGAGAACTACAGTGTGTCAACTAAATGCTCCCAACCCAAAAATTCTGGAATTTGACATTTCTGAAAGCAAAAAATTTCAGAAGTTCCCTGTTTCTTCCCCTCTCAATTAGTTCAAGAATCACAGGATTCTGACTATTAGAAGCAAAGTTATGGAGGGATCTGAAAGGGAAGAAATCTTTCATTAAAGTGTTCCAATGGTCATTCATCAACTAGCATGATTTCGCATACAACAGGAAACAGGTGATGAAAAAACAAGTCAACTCCATCTTTTCCATGGGGTTGACTGGAGGTGCCTTAATTAGGGAGGATGTGGAATTCTACTTTTGGGTGGTTAATCAGTTCCAGGTCACTTCTTTGACTGGATATTTCTTTTAATGGCCTTTGTCAGGTGGGTTTCAGGCATTTAAACATTTTAAAATTTAGTTGAAAAAATGCCAAAGAAGTGACATGGAACAGGTTAATCTTTCCCAAATGCTGCTGGATTTGGACCATGTGTAAAATATAGAGGAATTGTTGCCCAGTGGGATTGATACCACAGAAAATATCAGGCATAAAATGAGGTAGGTATTACCTGCATTGCAATTTTTCCTGAATTTTCTCATCTTGCCACATGTAAAAAATTTCACTAAATATCCATGTTCTTTCAGAGATTGCATCTTAAATTTAATAATCCCAAAACCTCATACATGTTTCTTTGTGCATGCAACTAGGTCTTGCAGCTTTTTTTGAATACCATATTAACTAAACAACATTGCCTGCTTAGGTCTTTCCATATCAGCTAACAGCTTCCAAAAGATTTTCCATGTGCATGAATAAACAAGATCATGCAGCATGTCCAGAGTTCTGCCATCTCTTTGGTCTATTACTAGGGGTAAGCATCATGAGCCTGATGAAGACCTTCACAACAAAAGGTGTAGTGATGCCATGTCAAATCTACTTATGAACTCATGAACTTAAGGGGTTATTCTTCAGTACTTCTACCATTTTCAGATTGAATTTGCTCCTCTCCCCCTTCCCAATAGGAGCACATTCATCGATTCCAAGTAGTGATATTTTCTAACTGGGTGGTTTCATGGATCATCTGATAAGTGAATCCTCTGGAAGTAGTGCTTTCTCAGTTTTCTGCTACAAGGGGAATTGGGGCTAAAATTACTTCAATATGAAAAAAAAGTATAAATAAATATCCAAGTGGTACATGTGCAGCAGACTTCCAGCAATAATATGGGGAGAAAGCTGGTGGTCCACTACTTCTGCACTACCTGAGTTTGGTCTTCACTGTTAAGATTCCTTAGTCTTCCACATTTGGAGCCAATCAGACCCTGGACCAGAGACTGGAGTACCCAGTGCTAAAGGGTTTCCCTTCCCTAACACACTTGGAGTTGCACTCGAATAATTCCCAATCTTGGTTCATATCAAGCCCAAGCCCCATGCCACAGGAGGAACTATCAACTGAGCCACTCACCTGCCTCAAATCATGTCTTACAATTGCAAGTCAAATATATAAAATGCGATGCCATTAACATTAGACATATATAAGGCGATCTGAACAAAGACTTTGACGAGTTTGAATCGTAAAGAGAATGTTGGGAACGTTATTGGCCATTTTGTTGACGTTTGAATGGATGCAACGAAGAGAATGATGGTGAGCCTCAGCGATTCAAGTGGGGATGTGAAGGTGGGAATTAACCTGGACCTAGGTCTTGGAAGGTCTATTCAGTGAAAGGGAAAGGAATTATGACCTTTAGTGATTTTGTTACGAATGGGTGAATTATGGATTGCCCATTTCATTCTCCTGTTTGAGGTCACTCAACAATAGGCACAGACCTAACCTAAATTTTAGATTTGAGCTAGTTTAAACACCTGGAGGTCTAACTTTCAGGTCTGTGGTACACTTGCAGTCTCAGATTTACGTCTAGGCCTGGTTTGAGGGAAATTCTACAGAGGAAGCCAAGGGTTGAGGATCGATGGAGACGAAAGCACGTGTTCACGAGGGAATCGCCATGTTTAAAGAGACAGAACGAGCCAATCAGCACTCAGCTGCTAACTTCTATAGGCGTACACAATTATGAAGTCGTCCATTCGCAGCTGTATGGAAATAACCCTTGAGTGGTGGTCTATCGAAATCCTGTGAAGTGTTGAATTCACCCGGAAAGTTAGCGCCTTGCCGCAAATTGATAATACCTAATTCAACTGATCATATCCAAGCGTAGGCTATTTAGGAGCGAGATTACCGATTCTAAATTTTAGCCGCGCCGCCAACTATTTGCAAAATATTTGTGTTCCAGTTGCTCAATATGAAACGCATTTCCTGAATCATTCCTGCTGGCTCCATGTCATCTGCAGAACCGGTAGGTCATTTGCCTCCAGCAGGCCTAAACCTATGAAGCCTGTGCCCATATGTCAGGCCAAATTTGATTGGATGTTAGATACCAACCTTTAGGTGTTTGGGATATGGTTCTCTTCCCACTGCAGGCTGCTTCTGTTTACAGAAGTACATTCCAGTGGCACTGCAGTGTTCCCAGACCACCAATAGTAAAAAGAGCTCGTCAGACAACCCTAATGGGTAAGCTTCCTTAGCCCATAATGAGTGTTTGGTGTTCATAATAGTTTGTTTGAGCTTCATATCTGTAGCTTGAATCTCATTGCTATCACTTCCCTGAATTCTGTCTTAGGTAGAATATTAAGGTCTTTCTCCCAGCACAGTGTCAACATTTTTAAAATGGAACAGGGAGTCTTCATATGAAAGAATTTGAAATCATTCTGTTAAGCAGGAGAATTTATAGTGAAAAAAAATTATGTTTACAGGGTGTCAATAGGCCTGTATCTGTTATTTGTCAGTATGACAACATATATTGTTTGTGGGTTGCTACGACCTCACAGTTATGGCTTTTCAATACCTAGAGGCTTCTTTCTATAATGGCTGATGAAAGCCATATCCTTGGGTGGTATTGCAATTGTGAATTTAGATTGGATGGTTTCATCTGCAAACCACAAAGGGCAGGAATATCTCATGACTGCCTCAATTAAAATTCAGAAGAGTACTCCAACATAATCCCCACTATTCCATCAGGAGAATGACCTTTTTCTGATGAGAGTTGCATTAAAGATCATGCATCCTTTCTACTTAGTGAGCATAACTTAAGTATCAGCATCAATACTATCTTTCACATGGTAATGAACAGTTTATACTAATGCTTGAAAGCATGCATTATTGAAAATTTATTGGAAAGAGCCAAGACTCAGGCCCTGGCTAAGTTGTTTCTCTCATATAGCAATGAGCTGTATTGCATGTTTGAAGCCAGGTTTCTTGCAGAAATCTGAATAGCCTGTAAGTCTGCATCATGCTTTGCAGAACTTTGACAAATTCAAATGAGATCTAACCATTCCACTAGAATCACGACGGTAAAGTCATATTTCAGCTACTGGGATAGTAATGCAATGAAGTCTGAGGAAGTGAACTGTATCCTGACAGACTTTTTTTTCATACATATGATTCTTGAAAACTTTGAGCTTCCTCATTTGTTCTTTTTAGTGCATATGTATGTTATGTTGTGTTTAGGTTGGAAGTACTATATTTGATTTAACCCAGCACCTTTATTTTGATCTGAGTTGGTTGTCCTGTTGTGTTTTGCATGAATAAAGTAGAAATTTGTGTTCCTAATGCTCTTAATTTTCTTTTGAGTGTTTTTGAAATACCTTTCTGCTTTCCACTGTATATATTCTTTCATCCAATGAGGGAAGAGAGCCCTACATGTCAAATTTTGTCAAGACAATGATCCCTCCCGGCCAGTGAACTCTGAATACTGGCATTCCTCTCCTCTCTCCTGAATCAGTAGATGATTGCATCAAGATTGAGCTTTCCATTGGTTTTTTGCACTCCTGAGATTTCCCTTTGATTTATATTTGGGTTTAGCCTGCATAAATTCGAGGAGGTTTCCATCTATTTTGAGACATGATCCTTAGCTCTACTTCTCCACATCATGTAGAGTGGCATTATCAATGAACTGAACTAGAGGGAATAGATTGAAGCTGTCCACTGTTTTAATGTCACATTTTCACATATTGTTGGTGGCTGATTCTTTACAGGCCTACTTCCGAAATGGATGTGTGAGGCAACATGTATGTTGCCTCCCTCGCTAAAGTTTAATTCTATCCCTGACCCACAATAGCCTAGGGAGAGAATGAATCCAATGCCCAGTATATTAACAAAGTGCGCTTTTAG